GGGCCACATTATCATTTCCTGTCGGAACTGCGACAAACACTACGTGGTACAGACTGGATGAAAGCCTGGAACAAGGCCACACGAACACAGCCTAACCATTCGTCGCCATGAACAGAGCTCCCTGATGTCAGTGCACATGGATGCCGAGAACCACCAATTCGCCCTGGAGCGTACCAGCATCCTCGGAAGGGCCAAAAGCCGGCAAGCATCTGAGTTTACTGAAGCCTGGCATTCAAAGTAGAAATCGATCAATAAGCACTTGGACATAGAAGTCGCGAACGAGGCACGGCGAACCAAGCCCTTGAAGCCGCACTGATGATTGTTGTGTCATCAGGGGTTAAAGTTAGCAGCTTCTTAGATTGCGCCAAACGATTCAAAAGACAAACCACCGGACGAGTAGTATATTGGCGAACACAGAACAGAACGAAGTGGGATGAAAACACACCGATACAGTTCAAATCACGGATGTGTGCTCGTTTGATATTAGAGGTCTCAAAGAAACAAGGGACATGTGAGTGGCGTGAAACAAGCGATGGTAACAAATGTTCTGCAACACGGAAAAACACTAGTCTGCTTGTAGCTTAGGCTGTTCTGATACAAAGCATACGGTTACTTGTGGGAAATTGTGCACTTACCCTCCCGAACAAGTCAATTTGTTTCGTTTCTGTGCGCATTTGACTTTGGTCTGTGCGAAATTCTGTTTTTCCATGCAAGTTACAAGATTCGGCCTGAATCAGTGGCGCCAACTCGATTTGATTCTCAGACAGCGCAATTTTCCTCGGAGCAGGCCGTTCGAGACCTAACGGCTCCCCCTTGTTGAATTAGTTAGACCGGTAGTTGTAATAGGTCTTCCTTCGGGGATCGACCTGCAAGGGTTACACATATATTCTTACTCGCTTTGGCCTTAGTCGGTGTTCAGTTTCAATCTGTCCCACGAGTTGCGTATCCTGTCCGATCGAGGTGCTTAGGTGCAAACGGCATAACAATTCACTGAAATCAAATCCTTTGGGTTTGCGTGTCTCTGGAATCCTTGCAAACCGCGCTCGCATTTGGTTGGCTTGACAAACCCATAATTGCCTACAAACGCGAACATCATACATTACTGTGCCACGTCGTCCCACGAGTTGACCTGGTATCCAGTTTATTCGATGCCCTCGATGAGAGGCAGCAAACACTGCGTTTCTAACTCTGAAATTTCTGCGCCGTGCTCCGTACCGTCTGTTGTATTGGGCTTCCATATCCGAATTCGTACGACGTATCGATGGGCGTTTTGGAGCCATCAGATCCAAGGTGATTCTCAATCTTCGGCCCATGAGGGCTTCAGCTGGTGACTGCCCATCTGGTGCATTGGGATTCGGAGTTACTCAATAATTCAACAAGAATCTTTCCAATCTTTCATCCAGCGTTCCTTCGCCCTTCGATTTTAACAATGCACGTTTCAGAGTGTTGACATATCTTTCTGATTGTCAATTGGATTGGGGATGATACGGTGTAGTCCTCATGTGTTGGATTCTATTGTGTGCGCAAAACTCAGCGAATTAATAGGATGTGAACTGTGACACGTTATCCGATAGGATTGTTTCTGGCAGATCGTACTGAATGAAAACACGCTTCAGCGAAAGTATCGTGCTGTTTGCGGATGTGTTTTGCATCACAATAATTTCAGGCCACATATTGTTTATGTGTCAACAATTATGAGAAAGTAAGTCCACCCAACTGGTCCTATAAAATCTACATGAATTCGCGACCAGGGTGATTCGGGATTTGGCCAAGATTGCAATGTTGTCCGAACCGGCAACTTGGAAACACTGCAGCATTTAGAACAGGATTGTCCAATGTCTTCTATTTGACTATTCATCATGGGCCAAAACATGTAACGGCGCGCAAGTGCTTTCATGCGGGCGATTCCTGGGTGGCCCTTATGCAACTGCCTCACCACGCGTTGCCTGAGTACTTCAAGAATGACAAGTCGATCCGCGAAAAACAAACAGGCATCGACTTCCGACAAAGCGTCGCGTCGCATGAAAAACTGTACAAGCGATTCGCCAGGGCATTGCTTTGGCCAGCCTTGTCTCGTACTTCCTGTAGCAATGCGCCTTGCTTCGTGGCTTGCTGAATCATTTGTGCGTTTACTTGTAAGGTATGCACGGCATCTCGTGTCATGTGGCTGGTATCCGTGTCTGTTGTGATTGAAGCAATAACGGCATCCTCAGGCTCACGTCGACCAGTATCGATTAATCTGGACAGGGTGTCCGCTTGCCCAATAGAGTCAGTTGACGAATACCTCATGTTGAAATCGTATCCCAAGAGCAAGGTGGCCCATCTCTGAAGTCGACTGGCCGTGTACGCTGGAATACCCTTTTTGGATCCAAAGATAGCGAGTAAGGGTGATCCATCGCTAACGTGAAACGCCGACCTTAAATCATTTTGTGGAATTTCTGAACAGCAAAGACATTGGCGAGAGCTTCTTTCTCGATTTGGCTGTAGTTCATCTCAGAGGTGGTCAGGGCTCGTGCTGCTTGCGCCACAGCCTTTTTTGAACCGTCTGGAAACCGGTGTGAAATGACTGCACCAATTCCATAGCTCGAAGCGTCTGTAGCAAGGACGATATCCAGATTCGGATTGTAATGAGTAAGCAATAGGTCTGATTTCAGCAGAGATTTTGATTTCTCGAATGATAGTTGACACTGCCTAGACTATTTGCATTCGACATCTTTCATGAGCAGATGATTCAAGGGTTGGCGTAGACGATGCATAGCTGGCAGAAACTCGCCATAGTGACCCATCATTCCGAGGAACGACCTCAGAGTTGTGACATCCGTTGATGTAGGCAGTCGATCTATTACCTCAATGTTTTTGGGGTCGGGATGTCGGCTGCATTCATTAATAACGAATCCCAGGAACTTAATGGATTTCAAGAAGAATTTGCATTTGTCTGCGCGTAAACGGAATCCAGTTTTTGATTCGCATCATTACGTTATCCAGTCGTTAAAATGCTTCATCATGTGTGGTGCACATAAATTTAGAAATTCACGACCGGTATTCTTCCTTATTGGCTATATTGCCCATATATCATTTCTCTTGGTCTGCCACAAAAAGACTTCACAATGATTGTGCGTTCCATTCAACTCATCTCCAGATGTAGTGGATTACCCAAAGTCTGGTTGACTTTATCGTTACTAAATATTTTGATGCACCTGGTTTTTTATTAAAGGCTCTAAACGATCTTTTTCACCCGCTCCCTCGAAATGTAACGTCCTTCTCCAAGACTGGCAGGGATCCACCACTGTGGCGATCAGCTAGAAGTCGTCGAGAAATCCAGGTGTCTGGGCAGCCATAATAGCGCCTGTCGGATTGAAGATGAGGTCTCGAACCGTACAGCAAAAGCTCGACGTGCCTTTGCCAATCGCTGCCACTTGTGACGCTGACGCGACATCGCTATCGCTCTGAAAAGCATAATTTACAATGCAGCTGTCCGTACAACCCTCCTATATCATTGTGAAACAGCGCATCAGGTCGACAGATATAACGAGGCAAACAGGTTCCACTATCGATGCCTCTACAGCTTAGCTCATGTCTGGTGGGAGCACCGCCTGAGCAATGAATGTGTTCGGCGTCCCGAATTTGGTGCAGAAAGAGCAAGTGGACTGCTCAGTAGTTATATCAAGCAGCAGGCTCCAATGGCTGGGCCACGTGTTGCGCATGCCAGTCCATCGGCTCTTGCGAAGTGCGTTGTTTGCGCGCTAGGGGTTTGGATGGAAGAAAAAGCGGGGAGGCCAAGCAATGACTTGGTCAAGAGGAATGAAAACCCTTGCACCAAAATTGGCGTCCGTTGGTGCATCCTGACTGCCGTTTGATTGGACACACTCGCTGACATGGCTGGGAGCCGGCCCCAGTGGCGTCTGTGCTGGGAGTTTCTTTGTCTAGCCCCTCTCCTTTACATACCTCATCCAACCATGATCGCATAGCAAATGAATGTGATAGTTAACATTACATCACTTATTTCCTGGATTGTTGTAGTGCGAGTTGTAGTAGCTTATCTTTTGTATTGTGTCACATTAGAGTAGGCGTGTTTCTCCCCCTCAAAGAATGTGTGTTGATGATGATGATACCCCTTGCACTTGATTTAGCAAAAGCCTACTCTTGTTTGTCTATCCGCCCTGAGTTTAGGGTATCGTTTTCTCGCACATCTTAGCATAACCCTATATTACCGCATTTATCCTCCTTTTCTTGTGGACTTCACTTATGAGCGTCCGCCTGAATGATGTGCAAGCATATTTTATTTTTTTTTACGTCCTGATTGTAATTCCATATTAATGTCATACTTCATTACCTCCGCATTGCTGGCATAAAATGCTGAAAATGTTCCTAGTCTGGTGCATAGTTTATTTTGACTTGACTTAACTTGATATGGACCGTACCGATGACACCATCCACGGTGACGGGGCAGGTACCATTCCGCTCAGGTATCTCGGCTCGTTTTCCCAAACTGCTGAGAGCGGATACAATATAACACGGCGGTTCTTAAGAGGCGAGAGTTATCCGCTCGTTCACAATCTAGACTTTTCACACGAATATTTTCCAGCTGTACAACTATGATAACTCCATCCAAGGAACGGGATGCGCTTGAATAGCAAAAACGCGACAGTTTGATCAAGGCCCGGAGTGAATGTCACACTAAATGAAGTGCACTGGAATGAATTGGCCCAGCAGCGTCTTCCTATCGATCGAACCTGTCAGCGACACTAAGTAAGACAGACTACGGTTACAACAAGCGCCAAGGTGTGCATGTAGAGAAGATGACGTGTGGTGATCTTCTGCTGTGTGTGCAGGTTCAAAAGTATCACAGCTTAGTACGAACAGATGTCTTTCATGGCGCAAAATTGGAACAGGTTGCCAAGAGCACGATATGTGTAGATAAAAAAGATATGTGTATCGCGAACTCAAGTGTGCGCTCCAACACTGTCATTCTATAGTAATGCTGTGCTACCAGTCCCCATTTAAACAACTATAAACTCTAGGAACCAAGGATGAATTACCGATTTTCGTTTCACTGCATGCCTATCAGCTTCCAAAATGGTCTGAGTTCGGCTTCGACCGGGAGTAGCACTAACACCAATCGGCTGCTTCCCGTTTGGTTGTTTTGTGCGATTATTCGACGAGAGCGGTATTCCCGACCGAAGGCGGCGCTGCTCTTCAGCGATCGCTTTCCGTTGAGCTAGGCGCGAATGCAGTTCATTCTCCTTCTGTCGTTGTTTCACACCAGCTCGACAAATCGGCTCGTGACCACATTGTTTCTCAGGAGCAATGTGTTGTAGACACCACGGGCAAAGCCAGTAGTCTTCTGGTACAGTCTGCATGCTTGAGGTGGTTTTTGAAGGTTTTTTAACTGTGTTTAGTTGTTTAGCCAATCGACGGCGTTCTCTGCGCAACCGGCGATATTTCTTGCGTCCAACCTAAAGGTAAAGTGGACAAATGCAATGGTGCATGAATGATCACATCCGTCTTGGCTCAAAAACAGATGAAGCGAAAAAGCTGTGCCGCGTGACAAGTATATATGGACGCGCAAAGAAGAGTGGTCAAAAAAGCAAGCACATCATCTTCACCGTATGTTTGATTAAACGCGACGTGTCCAGAGGCCAGCGACGGAAAATAACTCACCGCAGCTAAAATCAGTTAGACACGCCGAGACTCGATGGACGCCTTATCCTGTCGCACCGTTTTCCGGTTGGGTAATTAAATACCATGCTATCTAGCCAAAATTAAGAACACCAACAACGTCTTGGTACCATACATCGAGTGTGGAAAGAGCAAAATTAATATAAGCAGATTCGCCAAGACACGTTGCGGTGATCCTCAGAGCTAAGAATGATGAGTAAAACGGCGAAAGCAGTAGTAAATGGAAAATACAAATGTAACATAAGCTACGGCAAACCTAAAGTTTCGACTAAGAGTACCAAGCAAATGTCACGTTACTTTGAACAATGAACAATGAATTTATACGGGTTAAGAAGCGTTGCTTTACAAGCCCCGTTGGATAGTTTGTGGGGAAATCAACATAATAATTATGATGAAAAGGATAGTAAAATAGTTAATACTTTAGATACGAGAATAAGGACTTATCGTTTGCTTCGCCGCAGTCCTGCGATCCCCTTAGATTCACAACACCCACAGTTAACAACAAATAATTCCAGGGTAAACTCCAGGTGTAGAATGGAGACATAGTGTTAAGTAACGAAGTGTAAGTGGATGAGTGCATCGTCCAACCGTCTTTTAAATATTGTTAGTGTCGGTGCAGAGACGACCGATTCTGGGAGAGCATTCCACGGGTGACAGACACGGATGGAAAAGAAATTTCTGCGACACTCCAGACGACTGTATTGTTCTGCGAGTTTTAATGAGTGGCCCCTCAGGTTTGTATTGCTGCTGAGTTGCAGTAAAGGGCGGCACACATGATGTGGGTCTCGCAGAATCAAGTATGTCATAATCAGGTCGCCTCGTAGCCTGCGATAGCTTCCACTGAACAATCCCAGTCGTCGCAGCCTCTCCTGGTAGGACAGATTGTGCATTCCAGTTACGTTCTTAGATGCCCGGCGTTGAGGCTGCTCCAGTGCATTAAGGTCGTGTTTCAGCCATGGATGCCAGGCTTGAATTGCGTATTCGACATGGGGGCGAACATACGCACTGAGCATTTGTCGAAATATGGAGCTGTTTATTTGTCCAAACGCCCGCCTCAACAGCCCAACGTGTTGATTCCCGGTCTTGGAGGCCTTTTCCGATTGCCTGGAGCAACCCAAGTCATCTTGAACCAGGACACCCAAGTCACGTTCGAGAGTTGATTGTTGCAGTACATCCGTTCCCAGTCGGTATGAGTAGCTGCCCTGATGTCGGATGGAAAGCACCTTGCATTTACTGACGTTGAAATGCAATAAGTTTTGCATCGACCATTGATACACTGTATCTAAGTCACTTTGGAGCACATGTTGGTCGGCGTTCGCCTGGATCCTGCGCCAGATCTTGATATCGTCGGCGAACATTAGGAAGTTTGAAGCGATTCCCTGTGCAAGGTCATTAATAAACACCAGAAACAAACGTGGACCTAGAACCGAGCCTTGCGGCACACCACACTCGACTTGTATGGGGTCCGATAAAGAGCTCCGAACTCTGACCACTAATTGCCTTTGAAATAGAAAGTTAGCGATCCAGCTTAAAAGAGGGTCTCCGATCCCGTAATACTGCAGCTTGGATAGTAGTATCCGATGGTCTAGACGATCGAAAGCCTTGGAAAAATCCAGGTATATCACATCAACACCTTCTCCCGCGTCGGCTGCCTCGGTCCAACTACTGCGTGCAATGAGTAAATTAGTTGTACATGACCGCTGTCGACGGAAACCGTGCTGTTCAGGAGTGATGAGGTTGCAGTTCTCCAGATAGCACACCAGTGCATCGGCAATTATGGATTCCATGACCTTGGAGAGTATAGGAAGAAGGGTTACTGGGCGGTAGTTGGAGGGATCAGATCTGCTTCCACCTTTGTGAATCGGGCTTATTATTCCAAGCTTCCACATGGCGGGAACTTGGTTCTGGTCTAAGCAGTGCTGGAAAAACTGAGCTAAATGTCCTGCCAGTTGGTTTGCTGCTACTCCCAATGCCTCAGAACGAATGGCGTCGACACCCGGCGAGCTGTGTTTGCGTAGAGAGGTCAGCTTTTGCAATACAGCCTCTGCGGTAAAATTGATGTGGGTTAGTCCTGGTGAGCAGAAGACAAAGCTTGGGAGATCGCTTGGTGGCAAGACCCTTTGAAACGTGGGGGCGTATTGCATCTGCAGCGCGTTTGCAGCTTCCATAGACGTTCTTGTTGGGCCATCAGCCGTCTTGAGTGGAGGAAATCCTTGCCTCACCTTTCGTAGGCTATTAACGTGCTTGTACAGCAGTTTGTGGTTAGCACTGAAGGTTTTTGCGATGTTCTGCTGATAGGCGGCTTTGTCTTCTCTTAACAGTTGAGTGCAGTGGTTACGTTGGGCTACGTAGTTGTCCCACGTTTCTGGTGCTGGAGCTTCTCTGTACACTCGCCATGCTGCATTGCGTACTGTCATCCATTTTCGGGTTCTGCTCCTAACGAAAGAAACGGATTTGCACTTATTGCAAGCTTTTATCTCTGAAGCCTGTGCAATCAGCTGACTGAATGTGTTGACGAACTCGAGCCAGGCGAGTTCTGGGGATTCTTCTTCGAGGAAAGACCATGTTGTGGCGCTGACTAGCTGGGCGAGTCGGTCGTAACTTGTGATGGTTCGCACAGTCTCATCTTTATCATTCCGATATTCTGCATAGCAGACGAAGTTGAAACTGATGACTGCGTGATCACTGCGACCCAACGGGCAGTCTAAAACCAACGCATCAATCATATGCTCTTCGTTGGTAAGCACAAGATCCAACACAGATGGCCTGTTACCAGTTCTGAACCGAGTGGGCAAAGTGATGTGGTTGTAAAGAGGAGCAGTAGTTACTAGATCTTGTAAATCGATTTTGAATTGTTCGCCGGTTGTGGCAGGGGCTTCTAAACAATGTACGTTGAAATCACCCATGATAAGAATGTGAGTGTACTTTGGTTGTAAACTGCACCTTAAAGCAGCCATTAGGTGGTAGTCGGTTTCGGGTGTTGAGTTAGGGGCGCGGTACACCAAGATAATAAGGCAAGCGTCCCTACCTTTTAACTGCAACCGGCACCAAAGAGAGTCGGGGAACTGCGAATCTGAATCCTCCACGGCTTCGCACTGTAAGTCGTTTCGGTAGTACAGGATTACCCCTCCTCCTTTTGTGAGCCTATCGTTCCGGATCAGCGACATGCCGGGTAGCGACACTTCAGCGTCCGTCATTCCCGTGTGCAACCATGTCTCGGTGATACCAATGACATCATACGAGCCGGAAGCTTGGCGATCTTTCAGTTCAGCCAGTTTGTTAGAAAGTCCCTGAGCATTTGTATACAAGCAGGCCAGTTTCTCGGTCTCTAGGAGCCCGCAGAGAGGTGAAGCTGTCAAGTGTGGGAGAATGCCGACCGATGGGAGGTCGGCAGTTATTCGTTTTTTTGATGGGTCAATGATACCTCGTTTGCAACTTGATTCGGCCAAGGTGCGTCCCAGCCTTCGTTTAAACCTACTTCAGAGTCAATCAAAGCAGCAGTCAAGTTACACTTCTGTACATCCGTCGGTATGCTTGCTGCTTCAGTTGCTTTAATACTTGAGCTGTGCGAATTGTTTGCGACCTTTAACCGAATTTCGGAAGGAAGATGTTTCCGATTTCTTCGCCATCGATCCAAAACATCCTTTGCTTGTTGCTCTGACTGAACCACAAGTTTTAGGATTCTAGGGCCACATCCTCTATAATTCGATGAGAGAGGTATCCTAGTGAGTGATAGTGCCACAACATCATCCAAAGAAAGTGTTTCACGAATGAACCGCCACTGTTCTAAATCGTGCTTTCCGGTATCTTGAACATGGTTAGAAGGATGTTCTGGCACTCCATGTATGAAGACTGTGTTTAGGCGGTCTTGCTTGCTGTGCCCCTCTTCGGTGTTTCTTTTTGATTGTCGCGCGCTCCAAGGGACATCAGGATAGATACGTATCGCACAGGATTCGTGTTTTAGCGCGCTTGCGGAGAGCAAAACATTTTCCACGTCGGTTGAGGATTCTAGGGTTACTCGAATAAGTCTGGGTTCACCATAGTGTGGCGAGTTCGGATGACGAGTAATTCGTAACAAGTTTACGGGCTTGGCTTTGATACTCATCTGCATACACAATGAGTTCCATTGGTCTTGGTCGTCTGATAACTTGTCCCGCAATGTGATGGCGGTAGATTCAGGAACATTTGAGCATACAACAGTCCGGGCACTGTTGTTGGATCCCTTTTTAATCGATCTACAAGGTATGGTACTCATTTGTCTTGACTTGTTGATAAGTGATTGTTTGCTGTTTTTCTCTCCATTTGCGTTAACGGTGTTTACAATGGAAGAGGACGCAACGGCGGCCTCTCGGTGGACCCTAGCAGCAATCTCTGCATATGTAACCGATGTTCTGGGAGGCTTAGTCTCGACAAGAGATATTTGAGCTACAGGTACCAAGGGTTGGTGTTTGGCTGCTCCATCCTTGTTAATACTAGATGTCAGGTCTAGTGGAATTTGCTTAACCAGACGTTTTGAATGGTGCCTGATTTTCTTTGCTGTGAGTACTGCTTGATTCACGTAGGTACAGTCTGTTTTCGCCCGGCGTTCTACCATAGTTGGAGAAGACAACGGAGATGGAGACATGGCTGATTGCGGTGCAGGCGAAGCGATTTGTTCAGCATTCCGTTGCGTAGCAGCCGCTACGCTTCTGTGGTCCATACTCGCTCCCATTGAAGTAATCTCATTGTTTATCCTCTGCTCTGCTTCTGCGATTAACCGGTCGCATTTCTCAGCTAG